TTAGATATTTGTGCAAGAAAACAAGTCAGAAATAGTAAGAAAATCATTTTTTGCAGTCTGCCCAAATAGCCTGTGGAATAACTGTTTATCTGAACACATGACTTGTGTTATCATTGAGCTGTTATTATTTCCATATGAATGTTACTTTGACATGGTCTCGAGTCCCCACTGTAACACTGAAACACAAACTGTATCTAAAGCTGCTTTAAAATCGTTATGTTTTGTGAAGACCCAGAAGCCCGAGGTCTCTCAGGAGTTACTGACCGCATGGGTTGATGTCACTCTTGTGAACGAAGTCTGTCAATTTCAAGGCCAAAAGATCAATATTAAAGAGCAAATGAGGAACAGAACGACAGGACATCTGCCCTCAGCACATAAACCTTCATCTGTTCCTCAGCTTCATGATGTGACCCTACAGAAGGAGTCCAATCTGCTGAGGTCAGAGGTCAACACAGCAGCATATGCACACTGGTATGCATTAGTCAAAACACAACCCGGATGCTGCGGACCTACACGGATAAATGCCATTTTCTTTCTTCACTGGAATCTGCTGCGTGTGAACAGAGAAGCGCCTCAGCCAACCGGACCTGTGCTGATTAGATCAGTGTGGCCGATGTATCTAGCACACACTTGTATGTTAGATTAATCTGGAACGATCTTTATCTGGTTATCTGTGATGGAGCAAAAGGTCTAACTTTACCTTTCAGAAAAGCGTGTTTCAAGATCAGAGCGACGGTCCAAAATCTAATCACAGAATCCAATCACCTTACAGGAAAAATGTTCACTTCAAAGTATGAAAAACAATGGGTGTGTTCGATGAGTTTTGCTGGATCAAGTGCAAACGGACAGAGTATCTCTCTGTATATGAAGCACACTCTTCCAGCCTAGTGTGATGGCATTATATTCATTAACAACGATGTGAGACAAATATAATGTGATCATATGCTTCTCGTGCTTCTCATACAGCGTGCAACCGCCTTTACACTTATTCTTCTGTATCCTGCACCCAGTGATACTATTCTCTAAATATTCAACGCCGCATGTCAAAATAAACACTTCTCTCTCAATAAGTGAAATGAAATGTCAATCAAACTGCCAGCAGCAAATGACATTTTGGGGCAGCCAATCAGATGTCAGGAGTGTCAAGTGGCTCTGCCTCCGTGACTCTAGATTCAGCCCATTCACAGCCAAGCACCCAAAATGAAGATTTATCACGGGCCAAATGAGAGTGAAAACGAGCTCAAATGGAGGGCCTGTATTAGCCGGTTTGAGTTCAGCTGTGACCTCTCGAGTGACTCGAGGACCTGGGCTGTATTCCAGAAAGCAAGGTTAACTAACCGTCACAGATAGCCTGAACTCTCGGCTGATTAACCCAAACCATGCTTGCTTGAGATATGCTGGTTCCGAAAACATGTGACATCCATGATGTGTGAGATGACAATAAAATATAATAAATATATTACAATAAAATAAACATTACCTTGTTTATAATAGTGTTTTATAATGAATAAATATCGATAACTATTATATATGACTAACTCCTTCTGGAATGAAATCTCCAGATGCCAACAACACGTTAACATCGTCAGGGCCGTGCCGATACAACCGTATATCACAATACAGTTTCTTCACTTCAGTCTTTAGGCTCTCAAGGTTACACATTAGCAAAATCCATGGGAAAGAAACAGCAGAAATGGTAAAAACAGCAAATAACTCAATTCCACGAGCTCCCAGAGAAACCTGAGCCGTCGTCGCCATCAGCAGACATTTTGGCACACGGATGCTGAGCGTTTCTACCTTGTATTCCCAGAAGCATTCAGAAGCGTTTGGCTGAGAGACGGCCTGAACTAACACGCTCCTGCTCAGCGTTTTCTGTCCAACATCTCTCGCTCCTGTCAGTCAAGCTGTTCCTGACCAATCAGAGAGCGGCACTCTGCAGATGTCAATCAATGTCCATCGACACGACCCGCGGATCAGAAACACAATCACAGATCACAGCGGCGCGGGACAGACGACACGCTACGCTCGGCTGGAGACGTCTGGGAGAATGACTGTCAATCTAGAGCGAGGGCCGACAATCACAGGGGCCCTAACAGAGAAACCACTGCGCTTTAGGCTTTATTAAGTAAATGACTTTACGTTCAAATCATTGTGAAAGTTAAATGCACTGATGCAACTCAAATCCTGGCTGAGTAGCTTCATTCATTTGAGCAATAAATCGGTCTGCATTGTTCATTAGCGTGTTGACAGGTCTGTCTGGGGGCAAACTAACCTAAACTAACCGCTAAACCACAGAACATGTTAGCGGGACGCTGTTATCAGCCTGAGAGACGCTCACCTCCACGGGCCGAGCTCTAACCTACTTAAACCTGCTCTAATAAAACACAAAAACAAAGCATCTTTAAACAGAAAAATGAAACACCAGCCGCATGCGAGCGGTTCATCTGAGCATTAAAATGAAATAAAATAGAGCCAGACTCATCATATAACTGTTGAAACGCTGCAGCAGAAGATGAAAATATGAGCCGTGCAGCAGGAGAATTAAAGCATTTTCTTATCAGTGCGTCTGACTGAACAGAGAGATTATGGAAGGATGATGATCGGGGTTTAATACAGTGATACGAGCACAGAATATCATATTGTTAAACTCCACCAACGCATGTGTTCTGCATGCACAGGACAGAAGCGGCTGCTCCTTAATGAGCACAACGCTGTGCTGTAAAAACATTCGATATATGGCACAATATTGTATGAGGAATATTTAACATTTTCAAAATCATGAAGAAAATACAGCCTAATGTGTTCTGAGTGGTTGCCGGGCTGTTGCTAAGGTGTTCTGAGTGGTTGCCGGAGTGTTGCTAAGGTGTTCTGAGTGGTTGCCGGGATGTTGCTAAGGTGTTCTGAGTGGTTGCCGGGATGTTGCTAAGGTGTTCTGAGTGGTTGCCGCCAGGTGTTCTGAGTGGTTGCCGGGGTGTTGCTAAGGTTGCTAAGGTGTTCTGAGTGGTTGCTGGGATGTTGCTAAGGTGTTCTGAGTGGTTGCCGGGGTTTTGCTAAGGTGTTCTGAGTGGTTGCCGGGATGTTGCTAAGGTGTTCTGAGTGGTTGCCGGGGTGTTGCTAAGGTGTTCTGAGTGGTTGCCGGGATGTTGCTAAGGTGTTCTGAGTGATTGCAGGGATGTTGCTAAGGTGTTCTGAGTGCAAACACTTAACTGCATCCTGCTCAAAAATCTTCTTTGCTTTGCTGATTTCTTAATCCCTCCCTGTTCTAGTTTGTTCTATTCTAGATGATATTTAAAACTTTCTATTACGAGCTCTTCTCATGATTATTAACACAAGATGAAGTGTTTGTTGAATTTCTCATTTGTGAGTCGCTTTGGATAAAAGCATCTGCTAAATGAATAAATGTGTAAATACAAAGACAGACACTGAATATCTATTCTCTTAACAAAGCCTAAAAAACTAATTATTGTTGTGATATTCTTCTGTGCAGCTCAGAAATGCTCGGCTCATGTGGATAAACTGTTTATACCAGAATGATTTGACAGTCATAAGAATTTCAGAGGCTTAATGCAGAATAATGTGATTAAAACATTCACACAACGGACGGATGAACAGGAAGATGCTACACAAAGTTTGATCCCACTGAGAGAAGCTGGCAGGCTTTTCACTCACGCTCATGTCCACAAATAGCCACAGCTGAGATCATTATGAGAAACCCATGAGATCTACAGCGAGGAACTGCTGATGCTCGTTTCCAAGAGCCACCGGCCTCACATTCATGCTGTAGGGGTGTGTGTGTGCGAGTGTGTGTGTGTGTGAGTGTTTGTGTGTGTGTGAGAGAGAGAGTGTGTGTGTGTGTGAGTGTTTGTGTGTGTGTGTGAGAG